ATGACAACTTCTTCTTTCTTGGAATCGGATGAGCATCCGCCTTGCTCTTTCTGCAAGGATTCTTGCCCATCTGGCAACAAAAGATCAATTCCGGGTTTCTTCAGAGTGATGGTTTTTTTTGCTTCCTGACCTTTGTCGAGTCTTCCAAGGTCAAGTCCAACCATTGCTCCTTCCAAAGAAATGACTTTTCCTTTTAATCCTTTTAGCCATTCCTCCTTTGCTTCCGTCGGAACAAATCTTGGATTTGTCTTCCTGCCAGTAAAATACCTTGTCATTCACCTGTAGAGGTTTTGAACTCATTCGGAAATTCTGAGCAAGGTCTCTGCGGATGTCTTCGGATTGACGATCTTCTTGGAATGCTTGATTTGACAACTGCTTAATCTGGATGGTTGTCAGCTCTTCCTCATTCCTGTCAATCGTGAGTTGAGTTGGAGTTGCGACATCAAGCTGGATGAGATCTGCTGGTCGTCGTCCGAATGTGAGTTCCAAAGGTGTTGCACCCCCGTAGGTGACGGTCTGGTTTCTGACAGTTGCAGCTGCCTTCACAAGTTGTCGGTGTGTCACCATCTTCAGTGATGCAGGTGCTGTGCCTTGATGGAGTTCAACTGTGCGTTCAGGAGTTGCGGGTTCAGCTCGATTCGGCCATGGTGTATTCGGTCCCAACGATATTGGTGTGATGTTGAGGGATTGATAGAAATGTTCCCATGTTTCCGTCAGGAAGGCTCGATCTCCAATTGATTTCGGCTGCAAGTGGTGCTGGTCAAAATAGTTCCTGAGGGCAGTGATGTTCTCCACTTCCTGCGTGGTTGTGACTGCCTCCGCAGTGAGCAATGTTGTTGCTCCATCCAGGATGACAAAAACAATGGTATGTTCTCCGGTTCCGAGAGGAACCTGGCAATGATCAATAAATGTCATGTCTCACAAATGTGTCCGCTCGAAGTCCACTCGTCTTGCTTCTTGATGGTGCTTGCTTTGCTGCTTGGCAAACTTCGCACTCACTTCGGATTTTGCCAAATAAGTCGTAGGCAGATTTCGGCAAGTGAAGCGCGCGGGTTCTGAATCGAAATTGGTCGGTAGTCGGTGGAGCTTCTTCAACTCTTCGGGTTTTGGCAATGGCTGGTGGACTCTGCCTAAGGCAAGCGGTAATCGATTATCCTTTCTGCTGCAGATCTTGAACCTGATTCTTCATCTTTTAGCGGGGTGTCTGCGAAGGTGAAAATGGTCTTACCCATTCACAGGTTGATCATTGGTTTGTTCGCCTGGGATGTAAGTCTCCAATTGTCTTCTAAGATGTCTTGGATGCGTCAATGATCTCTGTTGTACGTTCTCGGCTGATGTTGTCAGGCTTGATTGGACATTTCTTTGCGCCAGTTGATGTGAACAGCGGCTTGCGAGACGTGATGTGCGCACGGATGAGCATGAGCTGCTTGTTCTTCTTGTCAAATATCCAATGACCCTGCTTCAGAGACCCAATGATTTTTGAGTTGCTGTGTCCTTTTGTCTCGGATGATTGGATGCGCAAACAGTCTCACTCTTGGAGTCGTCCCCGGAGGGAAACTTGATGCTGTTGTCATCATCGCAGACATAATTTGTGAGGCTTTTTGCAGCAATCTCTCCATGTGATTTCACTCTTGCCTGCCCAGCAAGATCGACCAGCGCAGGTCATGTGCCGGATACTGGACGATTCGTGCCAAAAGCCTTGCGTGTGGTGTGGTGAATGGTCATGTAGAGGTTCCGCATCTGGCTGATGCTGAGGAGGATTGGTACAAAAATGTTGATGTTGCTACTGGCTGGAGGAGTCGTGTGATATTTGAGATGCAAGGTCCAATTGACCTTAGCTGTCCCTCCATTGGCAAATGTGAACTTGGTGCCGGAATGTCTGGCAGGAAATGAGTTTGTTTTTTTCATGGGCTTGAAACGCTGGATTGCATGCCAGCTGCCCACGGATCTGGTATGTGCTGAGGGTTGCGCCATCAGCTTTGTTGCCAAAAGGCTCTCCTCTGTTGTGACGGACAAACTGTGTTCTGAAACTGTATCGTTTTGGATCAGCTTCTCGTGGATGGCTTCTTTCTCATGCTGCTGAAATGCGGCATGGGATGTCATGGGATGAGTGCCAGCCTGATGCACTGATGGATCCCAATCTTGGTCTGTCCAACCAGTATGTAGCTCTGTGGATGGTGGAATGTCCGCCTTTTCCTTTGGCACTGTCATAGGATGGATAGCCTTTGTTTCCATCATAGGGATACTGGAATTTCGATTTTCCTTTCTTCCCTTTCTTTCCTTTGCCTTGTCCCCAATATGCCTGGTCGTAGGGGTTCGTTGGCCATGTTGGCCTTCCCGCCGGAGCCACTTTTTCGAAAGGGTTTGAAGCCACCTCGTTGGTGACTGCCCTTTTTGCTTCCTGTTTTTCCTTTTCCTTTTCTCTTCTTGAATCTGATATTTCGCCCAGACACTTTCCTTGCAATGAACGCATCATTCTCCTCCAAAACCTAAAAGTCTCTTCATCATTGGTTGTCATGAATTTTCCAGTCCTTCTTCACCTTCCACCCAGAAACCTTCTTCACCGATGTAGAAGGTATTACTCCGATTTTTCGGGAGGTTGGATGGATGGATCTTGGGTGGATGTTCTGGTCGTAATGAAGAGATCATGATACTGTGTCTTCATCATCTCATAGGTGTAATTCTCGAGCGAGATGTTTCTCAAAGACATTGCGCTGATCAGTGCTGCCTAAGTACTTCTGGATTTTCTGTGGACAGCAGATCTGGGCTCTGACACCGGCTGCTTGCTGATGCGCGGCCATTGTTCTTGTACTGATGCTATGAACTCTGGTGACTGTGCCGTGCGAACAGGCATCAAGTCCATCGCTGCCTTCAATCTCATCAAGAGAATTTCAAAATTTGATGTGAGTGTGAGGAACTCGGTGTTCTGCCTTTTGTGATCGAAGAAACTGAGAAGTCTGTACAAGTACACGTTCGTCGAGCCCTTCAGGCAGAACTTCTTCAGGATCTTCCAACAGGTCATTCTGGAAGCGTCTTGGATGCCTCGATGGTGGTGAAGGTCATCCAATCATCTACGAGTTCTTCATATCTAAGCCAGCTGACTTTTGCATCGTACGATGACTGCTTTGCGGTCATCGATAAATTGAGCGTCTCTTCAGTTTCAGTAGTGAAGCCGGATGATCGGCCTGCACTTGAATAGGCCTCCATGAAGCCTTCTCCATTGGATAAACCTGCTTCGCTACCACAATTGAGGCCCGCTGCCTGGAGTATCTTCTTGTGAAGGGACCCGATACCTTGTGGAAGAAGGCCCCTAGATCTATTGACTAGGCCTGGTTGACTGTGTGCTGCGGTTTACCCTGAAAATGGTCCGCTGTAGCACCTTTGCATCACGGATGCAAATGGCTCAGTGAGCTACGTACATCTGATGTGTGATGTGTGACATGAATGGAGATCAATGGGTCCGAAAAACAAACACAGGGGGACCCCTCATTCCTGTGATACAACAGCACGCGGTGCTCTTTTCAGTGCACCACCCCGCAGCCCCTCGCAGAACCTCGCGGAACCTTCGTGCAACCCTGGTGGAACCTTGGTGGAACCCTCGTGGAACATCCGTGGAACCTTACCTCAGGCCCGCCTCACACCACACCGGAGCCTACCTGGGCTGAGAACTAAAAAACTCTTGATGCGACTGAAACTTATATTGAACCTAATGTAACAATAGCAAGGAATACAGATACAACAAAGCTTACAAGATTTGTCATGAGTTTCGATACAACTTATCATGATAAACCATATATAGAAATAGTAATACTTACCCACGAGGCGACTATTCGGAACTTCAAATAAAAACGGTTTAAAACTGTTGAACAGCGATGCCATGTTAAGACTTGAAGCATCAACAACTATTGATAGTTACATAGCAAGTGTGAAGTGGATACAATTGGGTGATTCAATGTAAGTAGTGACGCCAGTTTAGAGAGAAAAAAAAGGCAGGGCCAGCCTGTCCGGTGAGGGGACCGCTTTGCTGGGCGGAGGCCGCTGCCGTCTGCAGTCAAAGTTGGAGGCCGGTGGAGTGAGGAGGCTGCTTCCTTGGTGCGCAGTCTTGCGCGCGTCGAAGGAGGCCCCCGAACGCTTGCGGAACCCTGGCATGTTTTTTCAGTGACAGGGCGCGAGTGGACGGAGCCCCCAGAAACCCTGCTTAGGGGGCCCGCGCGCCGGGTTGTGCGCTACTGAAGGCCTTTGTGCACCGGCGGCCCTGGCTGGCCCTTGTGTCGGCAAGGAGGTCGCCCGCGCGGCAGCCCCGCCGCGACATTGCGCAAGTGTGCCGGCTGTCTGGCGGGCAAGCGAGGCGGCAAAGGCTGACACGGGCGCAGGCGTCAGCAACCAACCCACCGGGCGACGTCGGCGTCAGCGCCTCGCTCGCCTGACGTCGATCAGGATGCCCCTTGGGGGTCGGTGCGCCGTGACCCCGAATTGTTGCGCGGAGTTGCTTGGGAGGCGTATGTGCGGCGGGTGGACTGCCCCCTTCGCAGCCGCCGCGCAGCGAGCGCTGGCCGCCAGCCTGCTGCAGCTCCCGCTGTTTGGGGAGGCGTTTGTTGCCAGCCACAGGGGCGCCGCACAGCAGCATTATCAGCCACGCCGACTGCAAGTGCGGCACGGCAGGGATACGCTGCAGCAGTGCGTCTTGAGCCGCACGCTTCTCGGTTAGGAACGCCTGTGTGAACGCCCGGCTGCCGTGCTTGTTGGTGGCAGGGACCAGTCGCCCACCCAGCTAGGATCCTCCGCGGTCCCGAAGGCCTGAACGCCTAGCGGCTGCACACCACCGGCGTTCCAAGCGCGAGTCTTCCCCAAATTGCCTGCAGATGTCGAATGTTGCATGTGCGCGACCGGGCCGCGAGAAGATGTAAAGGTCATCATGGTCATCCAAGAACGCTGCCTGTGCTTTTAACTGGCATGGTTGAACGTTGGGACCCCGGACATGCCAAATTGCAGCCCGTAGTGTTCACTGCCCGCGGAGCACGCCATGGCGCTGCCAGACGCTGAGGAAATGTGGCTCCTGGGCTCGTATTTGCAGCAGACCAAGGTCATTGACATTTGCACAGTCGGCGACATCCAGCGCGCCTGGGAAGGGTGCTCCGGTGCCTTTGGCAGGCTCATGTGGCCAAGTGTGGGAGGCCATTTGGTGCCATATGAAATGCAGGACATGTGCGCCACAACAAGCCCTCCACATGCGCAATGTCTTTGCTGACAAGCGTGGCCGCCCTCGGTCGGCGCCTGGGAGCAAGATGCTGCATGCTGGCGCAAGCTGTGTCTTGCAAATGTCAGGTTTGGGCATTTGTGCCCGAAATCTGCGGAACAAGCAGCATCACAAGAGGCGGGAAGCATGACATGTGTCACGGTTTAAAGTGGGGGCCAGGCAATTTTGGTTATGTTATGAACCTGGGCCATGTTGAGGAAAACTGGTTGGCAGCTGGCAGCCAGTCATCTAATGCTTGCCATGCGTTATTACCATGGTGTGCGACGGGCCCAGCATGCTCGCTGCACATTGGCACTCGGACACGGCGCTGCACCGACAAGCAATCCAACTGATAAGCTTTGCCTGCTTGCCTGCTGGCAGGCCGACATGCGTTGCTGCTAGCAAGGATTCCAAAGGAGAGCATAGGCCATTGCACATGTTTTTCATTGAAAGTGCCACAAAACCGAGAATCTTGCAAAAGCAACATCAGCTTGACCGGATAAGAAGGAAATGATGTTGACACAGAAATTGGAGAACTGGCACCTTGATTTAGGGCGAACGCATCCAATATGCACAAGGCTCACCGACAAACGGCCACACAGCGAAATGTTCTCATCTCACAGCCGTGTGATTTCAAAACTTGCAGCAGTCATGGCATCATTTTGGCTCTCCAGCCATACCGTTTTGGTAACGGAGGTTGCTCACACCGTGGCTGGAAAAGCTACAAATTCTCAGCAAGAACGTGTGGGAATTCTGTGGACAAGTTTTTGTCGTTGATTGGAAGGTGGGAGGGCGGCTTGGAAACGGTTTCCTTTGCCGGATCGTAAATGAGCAGTCCGAAGCTCAAGCACACCGGTCATGCGGCGGCTCTCCAGGCTTCGATTCCAAAATGAGCCTTCCAGATTGAAGATGCGGGCGGAGGACAGGTTGTTAAATGGTGGCAGCATGTGTGTTGAGCCCACCCTAGAGTTGCAGGGTGCTACAAACATGTGCAGGATGTTGTTGGCCGGGCCGGGCTATTTCGCAGCCTGAAATGGTCGATTGGCGGGCTTCTGGGGCGCCGAAAGCTGCTTGACTACGAAGGTTTTGGGCATCGAACTGATGCCAACACATGGATACGTGTGAGCAACCAAGGTCTGGTGGCACAGCAACGCTGGAGAAGGCGTGGCCGCAAGCCTGTTGCTTCCAAGACCCGATGTATTCCCACAGCCCAAAAGGCAAATTCGAACGTGGCACAGCTTCACAACCAAACCTCTCATCCAGACTCACCAACAGTTGAGCGGGTTCCAGCTTGGGCAGTGGAAGGGCAAATCTTTGGTTAACATGAAACAATCTTGGCAGGTGCATCAAGCGGGCTGTATCGTTTGTGAAGTGTTCGCTTGCACGTGCCTCCGGGCGAGCAAGTGAATGTTTTTGTCCAAGAGGTACTTAGTCATAGTCTTTTCATGAAGGTCGCGGCTGCTTATGGAGTGCAAGTCTCATTGGCAAATGCAAGCATTGTTTCAGCCGGACTCAAAGATCGCAAAGGCCGCTTGATCAGCAGCAATTTTTGACACCTGCGCAGGGTGAGAGTGACATGGCCACTTCGCCAGAGGAGGACTCAGAGCAGACACCTTGAAGCAGCCAGCTACATGTCATGCAATGTGTCATGCAAGAGTTTGATCCACTGCTTTTGTTGGGCGATGCTGGCCAGCGGGGCCCCTGGCCGCATGGCGTTAGTTGGTTCGGGGTTGGCGGGGTCGGGTGATACGGGTGATGTTGCTGCTGTTTGTTGGTCGGGAGCCATGGAGGGTAAGGGTCCCAGCAGTAACTTTGACCCAGCGTTTCCGAAAGATGCCAAGAGCCACCAGAGGTGGGAACGGCTGTGTCTTCTTTGAGGGTACCTGGTCTCAACCACTGGTTCAACTTCGCCGAGCAAGAAGCAAACCCCAAGCCCAAACCAGGGGAAGGATGGAGAGATAGAGAGAGGTTGGGAAAGGATTAAGATGTCTTCACTCTTATCACCACCCAACCTCCAGCTCATCCATCGCTTTCCTACAACTTCCCATGTCTACATGCTCTCTACACAAGCTCCTGGCGGGTAAAGGATGTAGGATGAAGATGGAAAGTTGACGGGTGAGAGCTTCTCAAATTGAGGGAAGCTCCTCAGCATCCAAGACTTCACCATCTATCACCTTCCTTTTCCTTCCTCCGTCTACCCACCTGCATCCGGTAGACGATGGAAGAGGAAGGAAAGGACAAAGGAAAGTCAGGGCTAGAACCGACCTAAACCAAAAACTAAACCCTAAGCTCGCTCGTAGATAGGCTGGTCAGGTTTGCAAGAAGTGGCCTAAGCCCACCCTGAGCTGCCAAGTGGACCAAGCCCTACTAGACATCTCGTAGCGTATCATCTTCAGCTGAGTGCAGGTCTTGCCCCGAATGGCCCAGTGGAAGCTTCGTGGCCTGGTAGGAACCAAGTGGCCTGGTGAAGTGGCCTAGTGGAAGGTCAGTTACTTAGTGGGAGCCCCAGTGGCCTAGTGGAAGCCAAGTGGCCTAGTGGGAAACAGTGGCCAGCTTACGCACAGTGGTGGCGGTTTGGGCTGGGAGTGGCGTTGGGGTGTTGGGTTGGCGGCGCGGCAGCGGGGGCGGGGGTAGTGGTGGTGGTGGAAGGTTTCTAAGCCGTTGATGAGGGTCGTTGTTGCTGCTTGAAAGTTGCCACACAGGGCTACTTGCCAGGAGTTTGCTCGCTTGACCAATCCAGAGCAGAACGTCGCCATTCTTGGAACACGTGACTGCGCTTATCCCCACCAGCAGGCAGGCAGCCTGCCTTGTGCGCAGTCGAAAGACCGGCCAGAGTGCTGGCCTAGCTCGTAGGAGATCGAGGCGCTTACGCAGGCCACCTGCAATTGACGGTGCTATGCGGTCGGTGCCACTTGTTGAAGTGGATGGTTTATTCTTGGTGGCTCTCTTTTTCCATTCGGCAAGTCTCTCGGCATATTTTTGCGCTTGGCCAGAGATGTCAAGCTGACCGGCCCATTGCTGCAGGGCCATGTTGAACGAGAGCATCGCATTTTTACTTCTGGGTTGTTGCCTCAGTTTGTTTTAGACTTGCGAGTTTCAAGCTTGAAAGGCAAGGTGGTTTAAAGCTTGTTGCGAGGTCAACTGGCACAAATTCTGCCGTGATCAAGGCAGTGCTGGACAAAGGAAGGCAAGACCCGGCAATTTCCAGCAAACATGTGAGCATGTGCTGAGGCCTGATCTGCTGACAGTGGAACTTCCACAAAGCTTCGGAAAGCAAGATGACGATGTTCAGGCATGCTTGCAGTTCGGTTTCGGACGTTCCGAAATTTCAAAGATTGAATCGTTCACTGCACATAGCAGGCCCTGCTCAACCAATGCAAAGAGGGTGGTGCAACTATTCGCTCTCACCGAGAACGCGACCACATAGAGTTGGCACAGGCAGCTGCGGAGCACATGGCTTAAACTTGCTGCAACAGATCATCACAGAAGCAATACTGTGATGCTTCGCTCAGGTGTAACACACGCATCCTGAATCAAGTGAATAGGCAGGACACATGTGCACAAGTTTGGTGGCTTGCATGAGCAGCTTGTGAGCTTTTGCACTCTGAAAGTGCTTTACAGGGGCTTGGCCAGGCTGGTGGTATTTGCCACTGACCGCTCTGACAAGTACCTACGCTTGGTGAGGGAGGCCAGTGTGCAGGAGCCGTGAATTCGCAATCCTCCGCCCCAGAGGCACAAAGCAGAGGAGTCGTGGTGGCTGCCTTCAACGTGGAAGTGTGACGCCGTCCGTGCATGGCCCGATTTTCCGAGATGCTCAATTATGCCCTTGGCGTCCATCAAGCATATTCCGGCAGTGAGTCAGGATTCGGCTCGACCCATCTGAGTGAAATTTGGGTGAGTCTTTTTTCAGGGGACCCCCCCCAAATCGTGGTTTTTCCTTTGGGTTCACCCAAGAAAAAGGGGGGGAGCCTCAACACGACAGGCCCATTTGGTCGTGGAGCTTGAGGGACACCTCTGGGGGTTTCACCTGGGGGCGGGAATGCTACGATACAGGCGGAGCTTTGGCTCGGTAGCTTGATTCTCGAGAGCACCTGGTGCACCATTCCAACTTGCACGACATTCCGGACAGCGGCAAATGCTAGTCAGCTGTCCATGTGATTGGCAAAGCCGAAAACCAAAGCAGTGGCCTTGGCTGCTTTGATTGCCAGATAGCCAGCATGCGACAAAAGTCATCCATGCGTGTGCATTGCGCTTGCTTCACGTGATTCAGTGGGACACTCATGGGTTGCATGCTTGCCCTCAGCCGGGCTTGTCAGAATGTTCCCTCCCTCCCCATCCAATTTTTGCTCTCTGTCTCGCAAAGCTGGGAGCCCAACCAATGCCAGGATGTGACGTGCTTCAGTGCTTCAGTGCTTGGGCGGCTCCTGTGCAACTTGGACATTGCTCGTTTTGGTTTCGGGCCAGGTTGGGATACTCGCCGACCTCAGGCTCCAGTACGGCATTTGACACATGGAGCCGTAACAGGCCACAAACAAAGCTTGGCAAAAGCAAAGCAATCACCAAACGCCCCGAAGTGTCCATGAGGAACCAGCAAAGCCAAAGCCAATGCATCCTTGCGGCAACAGCAGAAGCATGGCATGAGTGGCACGTTTTGCAACCCTTAATTACAAGGCTTTGGCAATGGCTCCGCGCCGAGGCAGAGATCTGTGATGAAAGGGTTGCCTTTCAGCCGGGAAGATGGGTGCTGCACATGCATTCCAGGCAAGGCAGCACAGGGGCAGCAGACCCTGAGCTTCTGGATGCGAGAGAAGAACGATGAAGGCATAGGAATTCTCTGGAACCAAAAACAACTTATCCTCCTTCCGCCAGATGGCAGTGGTTTGAATTTGAAATGCCATCCTTTGAACCCAGATTCTTCCGCAGCATTTGCAGGCAAGAGAGGGGCGCCCTCTGATGTCGATGAGTCTGAGCATAGTCCCGTGGAGCGCAGTTTCCAGGCCGCGTGTATGGAGTGCTGGTCAGTTTGGGGGTGCAGTGGGCGAGGACTCACCGCGCCCGGCAAAGGTCCGGAAAGCCTTGATCTCAGGAGGCTTCAGTCACATGTCTTGAAGCCAGAGCCGCACCCAGTCAAGTTTGCTGTTCGCCGTGGCTCAAAAATAAGGTAATCCCCAAATGGAACCCTGGTAAGTGGAAGGAAGGACGAACACCTGCGGTCCGTTTCCTGGTGGTTGAACCGTGACCCATACCCAAAACACGAGGAGAAAGGTGAGGAATGGCCGAGTGCTATCACCCACAATCGAGGCCACCTCGGCGCCATCTCTTCGCCAGCGGCTTGCCGCGCGAGGTGCTGAGCCGCCACCAGAGTCAGCACAGGCCTGAGTGGATGGCTGGGTGTGCCTTTTGATTCGTTTGGGCGTGCCTTGTTGTGTTGGGAACCTCCAAACTGGTGGTTCTCCTGTTGGTTTCCCTCAAAACCACCAAGAAAGCAATACCCTCCAAAGAGACGCACCCACTTGATGCCTTTGGGTTCGCTGGTTCGGCCTGCATCGGTAGGACCGGAAAAGCCAAAGCAAGCTCTTCGAGAGCTTTGGGCGAAAGTCAGAGGATGATAAAGCAGTGGCCACACCTTGCCGAAGCCCACGCTGGGCCACTCCGCGCTCGCGCAAGAGACTTAAAGCATTGCATGCCTTGAGTCTAGGCTCTGTTTTGGATGCCCCGCCTATAAATTCCCCTTTGGAAAGTGCTATAAGGGTGCTAAAGCGGCCTCAACAATTTGTGGAGTCCACAGTTGGTTTTGCATATTGGGAGCGTGTTTGGTTTCTTGGGCCTTGCCCAGCCTTTGCCTTTTTCAGGTGATGGTGTTGAGCACGATGCTTGCTTCTATCAAAATGGGTCTTACTAGAGCACGGGCTGACTAGCGTGTTTGCTTAGCCAGCCATGTGCAGCATGTTTGGCACGGCCAGGGCTTCCTGTTTGCCGAGCCATCCTGACTGTGCCTTTGGAACTTTGCCTCGCGAGTCCCATTTGAGGTGGCTGTGAGGGCGGCACGCAGGCAAGCACCTCGTCTGGTCCAAAGAAGGCCTGGACCTACCATGACAACTGTTGCCCTCGCTCAGACGTCACCACTGCCATGCGAGAGGGCTTGACATCATGAGCCATGAGGGATGGCCCGTTCTTCGAACATAGGCCTTGCGCCGTGCCATTCGAATGTGTACGACAGCGTGTCGAGCTTGCTTGCAAATGTTCGCCACGGTTAGACGAAATTTGAATTCAAAACAACATATCCTGATGCCAAATGGAGGTCGTTGAGCCAGGGGTGTTCCAGCATGCTAGAATGGGGCTTGGTTTGTTGCTGCTGCCGGCCTTGCCGACTTTCCTATCATCCCCCACTTTGCTCACATCCTTCTCACACGGCTCATGCTGCTCACCCCACTGAAGGCTACCCCTGCACCCGCCCTTGAAAAATCAGACTGCTGATGGCGCCGATGTGAGGAAGACACGGGCAGCCCGGACCAAAGCTACGAGTCGAGGCGGGGAGAGAGAGAGAGAGAGAGAGAGAAAACATGCGGAACATGGAAGGTCCTGACTCCGGACAGTCCTTTGTGGCTAGACTTTTGGGGCCCTGAACTTTGCAAGAGAGCTGCAAAGCATCCGGAAGTCCCAGGCCAATTGCCAGATCTGGGAGTACGATTTCAGCTCCAGAGGCTCCTGAAGTTGGAGCCGTCGCGGCTTGTTTTCGTGACACAAAACGGCCATTCTGATGTGTGTGTGTGTGTGTGTCTCTCTGTGTGTGTGTGTGTGTGCGGAGTGACAGAATGCCCTGTCACCACCCTTTCGGTTTCTCAGCAGGGGGCCAGCGGCCATCAAGCAAACGCTGGCCAACGAAGCTATGCTTGATGGTGGATGCACGGATTGATCACCCGTGTGTACCTGCGTTTGTGAAGTGATGTTGATGAAAGTCCTTTTGGCCCTCTCTTTTCGCTCGCTGTGTGTGCTTCATGTTGGAACTGGTAACGTTTTCGACACTAGAGTGAAACCGAGTGCATTGCGAGCTGAACCCACACCCACTCGAGACTCAACAGTTGTACTCGAGACTCATCAGTTGTACTCGAAAGATTAGCACTCTCCATCTGGAGTTTAAGTGTGTACACCCCATTCGTGGGGAATCCTCGGGTGTACCCATTGTGTGACCCCGGGCCGGCTCTGTCGGAAAATTTGACCTCAACGTGCTTATCATAGAACAGCGGAATTTCACATTTAACCAGGAACGAGGTCTCACTAAAGGGAAGACAGCGGTCAGACCATAGTGACGTCTCACCATCGATGTTTGCTCGCCATTTGTTGGATTCGTTGATACCTTGCCGTTGCATGGATTTGCTTGTTGTCTGATACGTGTCTCTCAAGATGGAAGCGTGAAGATTGCGAGTCGATTGTGTAACCATGTCTCGACGTGATGATCGTGATAGATCCAGGACTCGGCGCAGACGTGATCGGAGTACTTCTCCTCAGGCTCGTAAAGCACACCGACGTGAACACAATGACCACCACGTCTCGGAAGGCATGGATTGGAACAACCTGGTATCTTGGCAACACAATTCCGGCTACAACTCTGCCAGCAATTTCCCGATGATGCCCACCAATTTTCAATCGACTCACAGTCCCACACAGCAATTCCAACACCCAGCGATCAACTACATGATGCCGATCCCTCCAGACCCCACGCCAACGAAGTTCATGCCACCCGTGATGCCACCACCGGTCACTACTCCGCAACCTACACCGCCACCTGGACCTCCTCCGGTTCGCCCTCAGAAAGCCTGGCTTACACCATCGCCTGACTGGACACCTGGAGATGGCATGTTTGATGTCAATCAGCTCTACAACTTTAGCCTGCCCATGACCGTTGCCAACACTCCGCATGGCAACCTGCGACATGTCAGGCATAGATATTCGTGACGTTCGCCTGGTTCAGGTTATTCATGGGGGCCTCACCAACTGGCTGCTCCGACCGTTCGCTCAAGGCAGATTCGTGACGTGGGAAGGCTTTCGCACTCGCACCGAGGCCTTACTTTGGAGTACCTGTTCCAAACTACTACGACGATCACAGTCGATCAACCTGCTCACCCTGGAAAAGGACCTTGCCAACTCACTGGGTCTCAACATCGATGACTTCAATCAGCGGATCAAGGTTCATGACCATTTGGCCAGCTTGGTACTTCAATTTCTTCAGCAACACCACGCCTCTCTCACACCTTCCACCCAGACAGATGACATGGTCAAGAAGTACAATGATCTAAATCGTGCGCATGAGCTGCTCCAAGCTCAGTATTCAGCATCGCTGCGCGCTTCGACCTCTCCCACGATGGCAAGCCAGAAAGATGATGCAGAGTTGGTTACACCGCCACCGGTCAACCACACACCATCCTCGTCACCTGCCAGCTCCCTTCCTACAGCCAGCGCAGCGGCCCTTGATGGCAAGTCGTTTGATAGCGCGGTGCAACCCCGGATCATTCAGTCTCTTCACGGAGTGTCTTCACCGCCGTCCAAGCCGGCGGCGTCACAATTGCTCACCATGCACAGCACGCCGGAAGAAGTTGTCAAGTACTACACATGGACCAGTGACCAGCCACGCCTTTATCTCAAGCAATCGCCCACAACCACGACTTTGACGTCACTGGTCAAGTGGGCCAATCACCCGTCCCGGCTCAACGGCAACAAGTCATTAGATTCCATGGCGACGCAGCTCCTTCAAGCGCGTCAACGCATGCCGAAAGGCGACGCACCTACTCTCGGGGCGATGGCGGCTTCGTGGGGACTGGAACCCGGCTATCTCACCAAGCTCACTGAGAAGGCATTGAGTCACCTCATCGTGACCGCTCGCCTACTCAGCGGATGAGCAGGCATCTTAACGACCTTCGTTCTCTTATGAGCCCGGAGCGGCAACCGTGTCACGGATGAGTCAAGGTTAAAACTCGTCCGTCATCTTTCTGCGTTGCATCAGTTTGATCTTGTACTTGGTTGTGCTTGCATTGCCTTGTGCGTGATTGTCTGTGCAGCTTGTATCCATGTCGCCGCCTTATGGTAGATTTCATTGGTTGCATTTTCACCATGTTGGATGAGCTTCGCCGCTGTGGAATCTATGATGATGTTGCACAATGGCAGTCTCTGGACAACTTTTTACACTCGTTGACCATGTTCTCTACGTGCTGGCAATACTGCTTCCCTGGACTACCACCACCGTCGATACCAGCTGATGAGTACGAATCAATCACACAACTACCGTGGTTGGGCCTCATTCTGGAAGTCTTAGTTGTGGTCCGGATTGCCCTTCAGATTCCGAATCACGCTATGTCACACTCTCAACACACTGTGGCCAACAGGTATGAGATTCATAGATGTCGGTGCACTGCCTATTTATTGATCAGTTTCTTACAACGTCTCATTTCCCAAGATCATGGCTACTTTCCGCCGTTCTTTGAAGTCCTTCACTTCTACAAGGCTTCTCTCTTGTGTGAAATCATGCACTCCACCTTTGCCGACACGCGACATCTTCGCTCATTGCGGGCACGATTTGTGGACCTCTATGACTTCATTCACGATCCAGGTCATCATCAACAACCGTGCGTCTACATCCGACTTTCCCCATGGCACACACCTTACTACGTTGGTGCGACTGATCAGGATGTTCTACGACGTGAACACTCACGCAGTCGCAAATTTCTACAACTACTTCGAAGACGTCATGCCTTCTTCGAACCCGCGCTTCACTACTGGAAGCGATCCAATACTTACTGGCTCTTCTGTGCTGTTCCAGTTGAGATCAAACTTCCCGTTTCCTCGGTTTGGGTCCAGGAAAGCAAATGGCAATACCTGCTACGCCCGCATTTGAATGCACCCTGGGTACACAGACTTCTGCGAAAGGTGGGCTTCCGGGAACACCTCGTTGATTTTCGACGTCACTCGTTGTCGTCTCCCACTTCCCTCGGCTTGCACAAACGCTTTTGACGACGACTACATCCGGATCTCCAACGGCAACTACGTCCCGATGACATTCAGGCCCATTACTCTATTCTCTATCAGCTGGGATCCAACACAGGTGCATCGTTCCAAGCCATGCGTGACCTTCTGTCGGCAGCTTTCCCTCCTACTCAGCTTTACTACTTTCTGCGGCTCTCCGTCTTTGTCAACGAGCCCTTCCGCTCCAAGGCGCAGAAACTCCTCGCCCAGGTGTTACGCAAACGACAGCTACAATCACCCACCACGTTGACACAACTACTCCTACCGCCTCTACATGTCCGGAATTGGAAAGCTCTACTTGGCACATGGTTACAAAGCTGGATTGCTTCTCATCGTGATTTGTTTCCCTCCCTTTTCCTTCCAAAGATCCGGGTGGTGGAAACTCGCAGTGCCACGTTGGGCGACAAGATCTACAACTACCGCACATGGCAGCGCAGATGGACTCCTGAAACATCCTTTCCGTGTCGCTGTTTGGACATCGATGATCACCATATACACCGAGCACATGGACATGCTGTAATGGTTGATGAGTTCTCACGCATCAATGCGGACATTGACATGGAAATCATGGCCGCATCAATGAAGGACCAGTATCTCGGTGATGTCGACTTGTTACATCAACGTTTCACCACGCAACTTCGCAAACTTGCTCGTCGCTGGCATGTGCATGGTTCCAGTCTTCTTGTTGATCTGCAGCCGGTTTTGACTCAGTTGATGGACACTCATCGAGCTAACCTTCAAGATCGTGCTTATTGGTCATCGACATCGTTGCAGCGCACCGTGGCTTCTCTGTCATCGTGGGTTGTAATCCCCGCGGATCATTTCCCCTCCCGCGCACATGTGATTTGTCCGTCCCTGTTTGCCATATCGGGAGATGTCTTTTCGCTTTGCCGTGAATCCGCAGCATCTTTTCGCTCTGAAGTGGTAACTACGGTGCCTTCCCTCCTACGTCAGCGATATGCATGGGGACTTCGACTTCAAGCACCGTTGCCCACAGCTCGCATCCTTCCAAAGCCGACCAAGGACTGGCAGAAAGCACGACCCATCATTTCATTCTTTCGCACGTGGGCAGCTCCCTTCCTCACGGTCTTCGGCGCCCTCATATTTGAACTTACCAAAGCTACTTTTCCCGACATTGCAGGTCAACTTTCAGTACAAGAACTTGTCCAGCAGCTGTGGGAGTCGCTGTCAAAGGCAGATCCCGATGAATACATCCACCTGGTGTCACAAGACCTGTCAGGCTTCTTCACGTCCATTCCTACGGAACGATTCCACCAGGCACTACAAGTGCTTCTCCATCGGTATGATCAAGTTGTTGGCCTTCGCAGATCCTCTCATTGGTCAGTGTTCGAAGTAAAGTCTGATCATCGACGCCGTATGTTCAAAGGAAAATGGCGTCGTCAAACAAAGATCCCTCGAACTTTTCATGAACAAGATCTCCGGCACCTTCTGGACTTTGTCATTGACAACAGTCACTTCGAGATCAACGGATACTTGTTCCGCCAAGAACGGGGAGTCGCTATGGGATCACCAGCCGCGCCACCGCTCTGCAATTTGGTTGCCACGGTTGAGGATTTCTTCTGGCACCAGACAATGTGTTCTCTGCGTTTTCGCATGCCCGATATCGGTGTGATCTGGCATGAGCGCTACGTCGACAATCGTTTCATTCTGCTTCGTGATTCAGCCCCACACTCGCCCGTGCTCATGA